AACGTCTCACTCAACTTCTTTGGGCTTTCTCTTTTTTTATTTGTACTGCCTTCAGTGATTGTGGCAGCAATTAAAGCCTGCTTCCGAATTGCCTTCATTCACCAGGCATGTTCATGCACACAACAATGTGCATGCAACAGCTTCACTTCATTGGCTTGATAGGCTTTTAATAAGCAGTTCCTCTGCAAATACTTGATGAATCTGATTTTTTTAACACTAGTGATGAATGGCTTTTCTGTGTCCTGGTGAAAGGTACACTGACTACTCTGTGTTAAACAGTGAAAATAGCTCTGTCAGTTCACCAAAGTAATAAGACTGAGTATCTTTCTGTGTTATTCTGCAGGGGATCAAGTTGCTGGTTATTCTTGCCTTCGTAATGGACTGAGCTCATTGCATTTTTAATTGTAGTGTATACTTTCATATCTTAAATGCTGCCTAGATATTTTTTCCCTGGAACTTTTACAAATTTCAATATCCTATACAAACTGTGAATGACAAAATGGCATATAACATTCAATTAATTGTGTCACTACAGCCAAATACGTTATCAGATTTTTCTCTTAACTCCATGGAATGTTGTACTGCTTATACATTGTAATGGGAATTTATGAGCAGATTTTCAGTTCACTGGCATTTAGTTATTGCTATCTTCTCTGCATTCCAGGTTACTGTCTTCTTTTTAAAATAGGACCTAAAATCTTTCTATCTAATTAAGCTATTACCATCACAGCAGTGATTATGTCACCAGTTTTGGGTTGTCTAACTGTGGGCTTCCTTTCACCTTTACTGCATGTCTCTGTCACATCCCTGTGCCAATATACAACATCTAGTTGGAAATCAGGTTAATAAAATCAGAAAAGAAAATTTTGGATGGATAAGTGAGTAAACTTGGCTGAGAGCACGGCTGTGCTGTCAGTACAAAGGAGTCAGCAGATACATGCCTTTGTGGTCTCATTATCACCTCATTATCATTTGTGGTCTCATTATCACTACTTAAGAAAATTGAAGCATTGGACATATACTCTGTACCTGCAATTCACATTTGCTATCTTGTTTTACCTGAATAGATGATTCCCTGTTGGAACTGTTGGACTGGAGCCTGGCCTACATATATTTCAACACTGATGTCATACTGTTGAACTTTTGCAGTTGTTTCTGCTTTGCATCACTAATGACAGGCATATCACTAAAGGATATGTTGGAGCAGGTCCAGATGGCCACAAAAATTATCAGAGGAACAGAACAACTCTCCTATGAAGAGAAGCTGAAAGAATGGAGGTTATTCAGCCTGGAAAGGAGAAGGATGAGACCTTTCAATACTTAAAGGGGACATATAAGAAAGATGGGGACAAACATTTTTCCAGGACCTGTTGCTGTAGGACAAGAGGTAATGGTTCGAAATGGAAAGAGGTTAGAGTTGGACTTCATCATACAAATACTGCTCCCCTGACCTGAGGTCCTTATCAGCACAGTGACAAGCGGAGTGGAAGGCTGGAGCAATTGCAGGGGTGAAGCTGTGGAGGTTCCAATATAAACTTGCTCAGGCACATGAAACTGGTCAGTTTAATGATCCAGACATGTAGCTGGTTGACACACTGTTGGAGTCAATGAAAGACAAATAATGAGATGTATGGGAGTAGACCTCAGCAATCTTAAATATGCCAATTAAAAGAAACAACTCTGGACAAAAATTGTGTGGGAAATTACTTCTGTTTCTGTTTTGGCTAGCTGGAAAAAAATGTCCTTTTTCACAGTTATACGTGAGGGAAGCCTATTGGCACCTGTGGGCACCATTAGCTCTTCTCAAGGACAACAGAAATGAATCTTTCCTTGTTAGTAATAAAGTCACCTTGAGAGACAACCCTCTAAGAGCCGAATGAGTGACATTTTCTCAGCATCTGCTGCCTGCAAGTTAGTTTTTCAGGTTTGTATGAGGAAGCCTTGGTACATCAGATGGCCTTTATGCGAAACAAATTGCTTTCTTTAAACAGGCAGCATTTAAAGTGCAGAAGGCAGCATTTGCTGTGGACCTATGCCAGGCTGCAAAGCTTCAACTCGGGAGGCTCTTGGCTGCAGGGGAGACATTCTCCACTTCTACACTGCTCCCCTGACCTGAGGTCCTTATCAGCACCGTAACAAGAGGAGTGGAAGGCTGGAGCAATTGCAGGGGTGAAGCTGTGGAGGTGGCATCGGCTGCACCATTTGTTTTAGTTTTGGAGTAAACTGTGAGTGAAAAGTCTAACGGCTTCTGTGCTTGTGAAGCATTTGATAAATACTCCTCTTTGAGGTTTGCATATGCTATGTGGTTGCATATAGAGAGGTCACATGCATGAACTTGTGACAACAGATGTCTATTTTGCTGGGATGTGCCATGTTTGATGGAGGGGCCTATAAACAGGGTTAGCATGAGTCTGGAGAGCAAGCATCACTGTTTGTTATAAACAAACTTTACCGAAGTGCCTGTAATTGCAGTGTTAGAAGCTTGGCCAGGCCTACAAAGTAGCAGGGGAGACAAATAAAGATTTCTTTTATCTGTTCTTGCCAGCTGCTGGAAACAGATAAAAGCACAGTTTTAACCTAAGCAAAGATTGTGATAGTGCACTTTCCTTTGTTCCTCCATGCTTTCTGTTTTCTTCCTTCTTAGTTAGAATTTGTGAATGAGACTATGCATGAGACAGCTTCTGAATGTTTTTTCTTTTATATTTTTTTTCCCTCTCTTCTTTTTTTTCTTTAAGAAGATACCTATTTTTCCTCAAACTCACTTCCTGTGGCTTCTGCTTCAGAGGTATACAAGGACTATAGGCTGTACAGTTCTGCTTACTCATGACAACATTCAGGAACCCGACACAAAGAACAGGCAAACATCTTCCACAGCTTAACTATCACTGTGTGCATGTTTTGCCATAATATGGTAGATACAAAACAGTTCTGAAGCCATCGTTTTCAATTTTCCAGTAACACAGAATGCAATAAGGTAAGATAGAGAAGAGGAAGTTAACTCAAAAACAAACTAGCAAAAACTTACCACTTCCTCCAGGTACACAGGAGAAAATTTTCAGATTCTAGCATTTGGACTGAGTAGTAGTTTACACTGACATTAATTAGAGTCACTTAATAAGCTAAGTTCCTCATGTAACAGTGAAACTGCAGGGACTATACTTTGCCGCTTCCAATTGGATGTATTGACTGATGTTTTGATGCAGCACGAAAATATTTCGCTGGACTTTTCAACTGCTCCAATCCTTCAAGTAGTACAGACTGAATAATGTATAGCTCCATCACAGTGACTCTTGCAAGCACATAGGCTCGCCTACATAAGAATTATTCCAGATCACTTTTTCCTGATGAAATCTGCTGTGAATGCTATTGCAACAGAAATAGATCTTTTGTAAAACCTGTATTAGACCACTCTTTCATTTTGTTAATGGCAAACTTTTATGGCTCTGTATGTTTTCTGTAGGGATAAAAAAAAAAAGAAGTATTACTTTACATATTTTTACTGTACTTTGTATTTTTCATTTATTGTGCTGCTTTCTTTCAAAAAGAAAGCCTACTTGAAGCACATTACAAATTGTATTGCCTACAGACTTCTCAGGTGCACTTTATGGTAAGCCAAGATGTTTTCACAATAACATTCCTGCAATATTAACATCTGATAAATAAAGGTATGACTTTCCTTCAGCTGTTCTCTTTGATATTAAATTGGGTACAGACAAGTTTGTAGGAAGTACTGAGAAAAGGACTTTTTTTTGGTCTAGTCATGGTAAAGAATGAGAAACCTTACTCTTTCCACTTGCGTCTAGGCTGTGGAAAGGAGCTGTCTGAATCCTTTGCAATACTTGACATGAGCATGCTTTTACACAATGACTCCCTGTAAAAGTCTGTTACTGACTAGTCATGGTTTCAAAGGCAGCCACAATATTTTGTAATTTGTTGGTGATTCATCCTTCTCTGTTCAATTACTGGTTCCTGTCTTAGTTTATGGCACCAAATAAATCAATAAAGGAATGTTATTTTTTTTAAAATATATGTCAATATTAACTCTTAAATCAACAAAATTATAAATCTGATTGTTTCTGTGTGGTAATTCTGCATTCGAAGAGTTAAGGTATTTGCAAATTTTTTTTTAAATGAACGTTCTTGGTGTTTTATAAACTTGTATTACAAACATAGATACACTTTTAATTTTTTTAAAAAATTTATTTTACAGCCTAGAAATACTTATACTGAATGGTGTATAAATCAAAACAGGTTTCCTTCAGAAAAAGTTTATAGGTTTCTCTTCACTGTCCTTTGAAAGAAGGAGCTCATATTTCAAGGATGCGAAAGAAAATAAACCTCTGAAAGACAAATAAGTATCAGCTGTACATTATTAGGAAACATACATGTCTTGCCTTAGATTGTACACATGTAAAATTTATCTATAATAAACAATAACAGCTGAAAGACTATATAACTCCTAGAGATCTTCTGTTTAACAGGATTTTAAATATACCCACCCTAAAAATCCTCCTTATCCCTTAAAATTTCAGATTGTTCATTCTACTCTGCCTTTTTCTCTACTGTTTTGTTACTGCATTTTGATACAATGTAATGACAAATGGTAGATAATTTTCAAGCTAAATAAACCCAAACATAAAAGCTCTTTAGAAATGGAAGTAGCTTTGTTAAAATAGTTGTCCTGTGTAAAAAAGAAATTACTGTGATTTACAATACTTAAGGCATAGAAAATTGAAGGGTTTTTGCTTCCACTGGAAGAACAGTATTTTAGAACTAAAGAATTGTTAGAATCACACATTGATAATAGTAATATAACAATAGTAATATAACAATAAATACTTCACAATCATACAATATTAATAATCCAAGCATTTCAGTATTAACTAGTACACCTTAATCTGCCTCCAACATTTAATAAGAAATGTCTTCTGTAGTTTTGTGTGTCATATTGAGTGTTATATCCACCCTAAGATGTTTTCCTTTGTACAGTTTCACAATTGTCAGCAGTAGAGCTGCAGGAGGACCGTGAGCAGGCAAGCGTGCACAAACACTCTTCGCTGTAATCTTAGGCCATTAGAATATAGTCTGGTAATTTCCTCCTTTTCTGATTTCCGTTCTGAAAAAAAAAAATAATAAAAAAATCCAGAAAATATTTTATCCATTAACTTTATATGTAAATTTTAAAACTAAGAATTTTCAGCGTACATTGAAAGTCTTCCGACATCTCACAGGTACTTAAGTTAAAGGTATCAATGGTTAAATCCAATCAAAGAGGCTATTCTCAGGGGAAGAGATGTAAATAGATGTCCCATCAGCGATCGTTTGAGGAGCAACTGATAGTACTTATCAGCTCTTGCAGACATTGATCTCTGAATAATGAAAAGTAAATACCAAGTAAGATCTTCACAAGAGGTATGCTCTCAAGTCTGCCTGTAGCCGTTTAACTCTTCCTTTAACTAGAAGTAGCTTCATGTACTAGCACAAAGCAGAAAGCCATATCCTTATGCATGTTAAATTTTCCACTGCCACCTTTATTGTCTTTGTGAAGCTGAGCTCATGATTCTATGATTCTAGGAAACAGTAGACTGCTTTTACTGAGAGGCCTGTCAGGTCTTTTGTTCCTGTAATTGGATACAATAGGTCTGATTCGAAGGTAAACCCTCAAGAAAGCATTTGACTCTTCTGAAGAGCTTAACAAGCAAATTGAGTGCCACAAACAATTATCCAATATAGAAGAATGCAAACCAAAAGTTATTTTGGTGGTGGTTTTTGTTGTTTTGGTTTCAGACCTGTTTGCTAGTTGTCACCTTTCTTTTGCATTTCACTTCTTTAAAGGTTTATCCCACAGTAGGGCATATCCTGGAGGCCTAAGTGGCTTAAGTTTTTAAATTTGGATTTACTTCTGAGTTGATAGTATAACTCGGGACTCACAGCTTCAATGCACTGCTACTCAGATAGGAAACTGGTCAGGAAAAAAGAAGCTATTGGAGTTACTCGGCGTTCAAACGGATCTTAAAGCTATGTAGGTCTGTTAGGTTTTTTTAGCTTGCTAAATAATGATATTCACAGAGCTGAGGTAAGAGCTTATAACAGCATAGGGTGGGATTGAGACATGATAGTGCTAACTTTTCACCTGAAGATAAAATAATATGTAACTTTTATTACTAATCTAAGAGTATTGAAAACGGTCTGGATCACAGTAGCCAGGTCTCCATGGATAATAAATACCTGGAAAACCATCTTTCAAGTTTTTATGGTAGCTCATGCACCGCTTTCAAAACCACTCAAACTTTATACTGGGATTTCACAGGTTTGTGTATAGATCTGATTTAAGATTAATAGTGTTTTTGAGGTGACTGGGTGCTACTCCTCTGCATTCATTACAACGATGGCTACACTTTTTGTGGAGTGTGCTCAGACTTGGAAATTTATAGCAGGAGTACAAAGATTAAGATACAGATCTTAGTACATAAAAGGCAGGAAACCAGTCTGAAGCTTATTTTAAGTAGCTTATACAAAACCACACAAGCTTTCAGAAATTGTTTCTGTAGTGTAACAGAGGTTTCTACTTCTACCACACCAGCTTACACACTCCTTTTCCTCCTTCATCCAACTAACGTTTTTGAATGCATAGATATAGTTTATTTGTACAAATGGTCCTGGTTAAACGGGATGTCATGTGTAGGCTTCACAGAACACAGGAAAATTTAATCCCTCACGTTTTCAATTAAAATGGGAGTTTCCTACTAAACAGAATCATAAAGATCTCAAAGTATTATATATAATATACTATACAGGCAACAGCAGTATTACCTACTGTCCCAGTAATGTATTCTCTGAAGCAAAGCAGGTCACTACAGATGTCTAAGTAGAGCACTTAACAGCATTCTCTGAGTAGCCCACCTTTCAGGAAAGCAATTCCATTGTCCACAAGATTAAAAGGGTTAATTTAACACCATTGCTTACCACAGTTATTGTGCATAATTTCGGAGAGACAGTTCAGAGTACCATAGCCACACCGACACAGCCAACAGCCCTTCAGCACCCAGGCGCCGTGGGCAATGCTGCCACAGTTGCTGCCAAGGGCAAGGGAGACATTTAGTAAGTCACTGACCCCACCACAGAAAATAAGCATTCAGAGCAGCTTGCTCACTCTCTGTTTTTGTTCTGGTTTTTACCTTTGTCTCTGGTCATGCTCACAGTATCTGCCAGTGAAATGCTTCAGGCAGGCACAGAAGGCCCCTAGGATACAGGTGCCTCCGTTTTGGCAGCAGTGTCTGTTCAATTTTTTACCTGCAAGACAATATTACAGGTTACCAAGCAGCCCGAGGGCTCCGAACCTCCCGTTTTCCTCACTTGTTCTCTCAGGTCTCTCCAGTTGCCAAAGGATCTTAAAGGTATCTAGTTTTATTGTCTTTCGAGACAATAAAATTATCTGCCTATTAGGAGTGTTTGTTCAGTTAACCCCAGTTTGTTTTGTTAAGGATTAGAGGCAAACTACTAGGGATTAAGGAACGGTCAAGAAGCAACGCCTGGCAAGCCCCGTACCACCAGCATCATATCTTTAATTGAAGCATTTCACTTTGACGGAGACAGGTTCCAGCCACACTAAGAAACAGAGGGAAGTGGTGCTTCTTTTTGAAGAAAGGAGGCTTTGTTATTGGGAGAAGTTGCTTAGCTCTGAGAGGGCAGCGCAATTCTCCCTCAAGCCCTTCTCAGCGTCCCGGGACTGAGTACTTATGTAAAATTTTATATATGTGAGGGGAAACATGTTCGTTTTGTTTGTTTGTTGTTTTGTTTGTTTGTTGTGTTAGTTGTTTTTTTTCCTTTAGAGAACTCTTTAGTAATCTTGCTGTTAGACAGCTCAAGTCATTTTTAAAAGTTGTTGTTTTTTTTTAAATTAAAAACGGCGAATTAAAAAAACCCAAAACAACAACAAAAAAAACAACAAAAACCAACAACAAAATCTTACAAACAATTTTGCAAGTCTAAAGGACTTCTTAACTCCTAGTAATCTTCCCTATTTTCCGCTACCACCTTTTGCTGGAAAGACATCACCGGTTCTACCTTAAATTTTTATCACCATTTCCTAAGTGTCCACAGGAATAATTTAAACGAGCAGATCACAGAAAAACAGCCGGCTGGAATCTTCCAGGAGAGCAGCCCAAGGATCATTTGGAGACAATATTTTACAAAGCAATTTTATGCCATTGTTTAAATAAATAATGTTACCTACTCTCTGTAATTCCCGTGAAAGGCACCAGTGCCCTGGAATTCTGCTGCTTTCTGCTTTCGTAACTCTGATTCGTGTCACTGAGAGCATCTATAACAGTCCCTTGGTTCTTGGGCTGCGGCTTTTGTGCTGTGGCATTGAGAATTTTCACGCCTTTTTCACTTTCTTCTTTTTCATGGCCTTGACAAGAAGGGATATGTTATGTATAAGACACATATGAAAGAGAACGGTAGCTTGTAATGAAGCAATTCATATTGTAAATGTACAAGAGGAATACGGGAAGGGGCGACGGCAGAAAACATGACATTTTCCTTACCTTTTCCTGAATGAACAGCCTGCCACACCAGAGTCACAGTGAAAAGAGTTCTACAAAAAATAGAGCTAAAATAATTTCGTGCTCGTAATACCTAAACAACAAAATTAAGATAGAGCAGAATAATTTTTCAAAGCTTTACCAATCATTGACAGTAGAAGCTATAAATATTTTATGGCAGAAGTAAATCGAATTAACACATCGAAAATATAAAATTTCGAAGTAGGAAGTGGAAGAAGATGGGTCAGGTAGAATAGGAACATTAAGATTAAAGTTGCTTCCAGAAAGCTACAGATTCCCTACATTTGCTAGTTGACAACCCGCAAAAAATGTCTCTGTACATTTCTTTACCATAATTAAGTTGTTGCCAGCAGTTACAAAAGCAGCAAAGGCAACAGCACAACCTTTACTTCACCCAGATTCAGGGTGAAGGGAACGTATGTTCCCTTCAGCTTCCTGGTCTGTTTATCAGGCAAAAAGAAAAAAAAAAAGCATTGCTAAAAGTGACAGCATCCTTGGCTAGAGAAGGCCCGTAGCAGCTCAGGTAACCTTACCTAAAATAATTTCCCCAGTACATTTTCCTGCAGCCTGAAATACCCATGAAGTACTCCAGGAGAGTTTGCGCAGAAGAGGTCCGAAGCCCCTCACTGAAGCCTGTTGCATGCAGCAATCCTCATACCACACGCAACAACAAGAGAAGGAGAAACGAGAATAGATGAAACTTTTGTCTTTCTGTCCAGCTTATAACAACTTTGAAAGGGCATAGCTCTCAGTTGTACCGCTTGCTGAGCCCACGCGGTGGCCCTGGCAGGCAGAGACCATCTCCCAGAGCTACGAGTCCCTGGTCTGCTCTCAATTTACATGGACTGCTGAAGGGTGGAGCAAAGTGGGGCACCTACTGCTGGGGGCGGGTGGGCAGGAGGGGCGGTACCTAGCGGCCCATGACGGCAAAACATGCCAAACCAAGAAGACCTCGACTCCAGTTTACTTCTTAATATAAGAACTTCTGTATCACCACATCCTACACGGGGAAGAAAAAACTGTTCTGCAGAAACACAATAGATAGAAACACAATAGAAACAAAACTAACTGCAGCAGGTATATCACAAAGGTTAAAACCCTCCATTCTGTCTACATGCCTTGTCTCTGCACAGGTGGCAGTTCTTAATAGAGGTCTGTTGTCTCACAAGAGCTTTTAATAAGCTCTTGAGATGCATTTTGAAACTTTTTTACTGTTAGTAAAATTAGACCCATTAGTGAATATTCCTTGTCTGAGTCCATGCAATATCACTTACCATGTACATAACTTCACTATGACTCAACAGTATCAGCAAAAAGACTTGCAATTTAACAGTGGTAAAAAAGTGGGTCCAGGCAGTCTTTTCTCCACTGGTTCTACTGAACCCAGGAGTACACATGGCCTTTACTTAAGCTGTAACAGGGAACTGCAGCATTGCAGCTTTGTAGTGTTGTGGTTGTTTGTTTGTTGGTTTTTTTTGTGAGGAGGAGGGGTGAGAGGAGCATGTGGAAGAGGGATGTTTTTGGTATTCCAGTACAAGTCAAGATAGTACTAATTGCACCTTGGCTAGATATATGTCACATCAGACATATGGATCAGATAGTCACAGAATAAATGACTGTACTAGGTAATGACATTGTCATTTCATTCTGTTTGTAACTCCCTTTGGCTAAAACTGCCTTTGCCCCATCTAAAGTTATGACCTGGAATTTGTGAACATCTGTCATCCAATTTGGTGCAAAGGCTGCCTTAATATTCAAAGACAGCTGTAAGAATTAAGTCAATCCACTTGACACTGAAGCAGATGAAGGGTGTTCTGAGGGCCTGCTCTTTCGTGTCTCCTGTGGGGACACTGGTTTCCAACAAGAGGGTAGAAGTTTGTAGCTGGAGATGTGGAACAGCTGTTTCCGTAGGGAATACTTGCAGGGAATGCTCTGCTGGGCTAACTCAGTCTTAGTGGATAAGGCATTCCCAGCGCTGGTACAACTGTTGACTCTAACTGATCCAAGCTCAATCATTTTCTTGTAGATACAGGCTAACTACTTTAGCTTTATGGTATCTTTTATGTTTGTTACTAATTCATACTGATTTAGATGAAGCTATTCTTGTTCCAGGCTTGTACCAAAGCACCATGTCTTTCAGAATTGAGTGTGTGTCATATGTTTATGTGAAAATCAACTAAATCAGTGCTAGAAGAACTCACATGCCAACAGCTGTAGGTAAGATGTTTAATAGAAAGAATGTTATGATAAAAATCACAACATGTTATCTCAGGAAGGGATTTTGTTTTTCCTGCGTTAAATAGCAGAAATTTTGAAGAGAGAGATTACATCACGCTGTCTGCATCTACCTGCTGTGATTCACAAGAACTCCTAAAATAAACATGTGTCAAGGTTCATTTACTTGCTTAAAATCTGTCAAATGTGTTAATGTACTCTCGAGAAAACAGAAGACGTTCTGGATTGGGACCATAAAATGTTTCATACAAAATGAATGCATTGTCATTTTTGCATGGATTAAAAAATATGTATGTTTTATCAATATATGAAAATATTTACTTGTAGAAAATACAATCCAAACAACTCTTGCTTTCATTTGAGTTCTCTAACTGTATAAAGGGGTTAGTATTTAGAGTTTAAAAATAATGGCTGTAATTCCATTTGTTCAGTATTTTTTGTTACTATATTAGGAACAAAGCGTTCATTTTCAATTTCGACTAACTTATAGCATCACGTTAAGTTGCAACATTCAGATGCTGAAATGCATAATTTAGTATCTAGTTTGTTAGTTTTCCCCTTCCCATATATGGAAGACAGAAAAAAAAACAGAGGTGAGTAAACAGAGGAACATCACACTTGTTGTTTTTTTTACCAAATGCAGTGTAAATATAGGTCTTCTGGAGAGCTTTTCTGGTTTTCTGGTTCCCAGACCAATTCTGCAGGTAACTTTCAAAATGGGGTTGCAGGTAAAGAAGTATTGCTCAATTTTCACACCCTGTACCATTTGTTTAAGATCATAAGTCATCCTTGTAACTGCAAGAGATAAGAACCTGGGGAACTGTAAAGCAGCTGGTAAACATTTCTTGCTGTGCTACTTTGTTTCTTCCTTCCTTCTCCTTACAGACTCACCGACAAGGAACACATAGGAGTAGGGATAAAGTAAATTGCTCAGATGCTGCTGTTGCCTGACTGCCCTGTAGAAGTGAGACTGGTGTAACACTGCAGAAAAGCACTGTTGTTTGCTGTTGACAGAATCTGCCAGAAAGTGATTGCTTCTGCCCAGGGATTTGCAAGGAGCTGCACTAAGGGTAGATGGACCTCCTTTATCACCTTCAAGTAAGATAAGATTGGAGCCACCCAAAGAGCTGGTTCTGATCATTTCAATCAAGACGTGTGTAGACAGGAGATTGCTAACCATTAGCAAGGGCTTTAAGTACTGTTAGTTCCAACAGCAGGTCAAGTTGCATGTATGGGTAAGGGCGGCAGGAAAACATGGTGTTACTTTATTAAGCCACATAACCCCTCTTGTCCTCATCCAAGAAACTATATATGTCTGTAGCCTTCATCCTCAGGCACTATTGCCCAATGTGCAAGTGGACCACTGCACAGAAAGTGTGTATAATGCATGCTGTTTTTTGGTGCTTCATAGCACAGAATTAGAGAATCACAGAATGTTTGGAGTTGGAAGGGACCTTAAAGATCATTCAATTCCAACTCCCTGGCATTGGCATTGGCATTGGCAGGGACATCTCCCACTAGAACAGGCTGTTCAGAGCACCATCCAACCCTGACCTTGAACACTTCGAGGGATGGAGCCCCCACAACATCTCTGGGCAGCCTGTTTCAGTGTTTCACCACCCTCCCACTGAGGAATTTATGCCTGATCTCTAACCTAAATCTCTCTTCTTTCAGCTTAAAACCATTATCCCATGTCCTCTCACTGCAAGCCCCAGTAAAATGTCCTTCCCCAGCTTTCCCGCAGGCCCCCTTTGCATACTGGAAGGCTACTATGAGGTCCTCCTGAAGCCTTCTCTTTTTCAGGCTGAACAACCGCAGCTGCCTCAGCCTGGACTCATTAAGGAGGTGCTCCAGCCCTCGGCGTTTTCATGGCCCTTCTCTGGATACGTTCCAACAGGTCCACATCTTTCTTGTGCTGAGGGCACCAGAGCTGGATGCTACTGCATTCTAGGTGAGGTCTCACCAGGGCAGAGTAGAGGGGCAGAATCACCTCTCTTCATCTGCTGGCCAAACTCCTTTTGATACAGCCTAGGACAGAGTTGGGCTTCTGGGCTGTGAGTGCACATTGGTGGCTCATGTCCAGCTTTTGATTCACTAGTACTCCCGGGTCCTTTTCCACAGGGCTGCTCTCAAGTGTGACCTCTGCCAGCCTGTGTTCATATCTTGAGTTACCGTGGCCCCGGTGCAGGACTCTGCACTTGGCCATGTTGGACCTCATGAGGTTCACCTGGGCCCACTTCTCTAGCTTGTTCGGGTCCCTCTGGATGCATCACATCCCTCTGGCAGATCGACCTCACCACCCAGCTTGGTGTCATCAGCAAACTTGCTGAGGGTGCTCTCAGTGCCACCGTCAATATCGTTAATGAAGATATTAAACAACACTGGACCCATCACTGACCCTGAGGGACACCAGTGGTCACTGTTTTCCATCTGGACTTAGAGCCATTGACCACGGCCTTTGGATATGACCATCCAGCCAATTCCTTATCCACTGAAGAGTCCACCCATGAAACCCGTATCTTCCCAATTTAGAGAGAAGGATGTTGTGGGGGGCTGTGTCAAAGGCCTTGCAGAAGTCCAGATAGATGACATCCACTGCTTTTTTCTGGTTGACTGATATAGTCACTTCGTTGTGGAAAGGTGGATGTGACTACTCCTAAAGCTGAGCTAGCTCCAAGTCCCTCTGTTGAATGAAGCTGGGGTGAAATCCTGGCAGCACTGAAAGCAACAGCAGAGCTTCATTAAGTTGAAAGGGGCTCAGATTTTACTTTGTGGCACTTACCCTCCCATCCGTCTCTAGCCATCACTTGTGATGCAGAGAATAGCAAAGCTACAGCAAAAACCACAGTTTGCTCTGAATGTTTTTGAAATCTAGTTTAGTCAAAAAACAATGTGTGTTCTTTGCTTTGCATGGAAAGGGTTAGGTGACTCAGTGCGATCACTCTGTGAGCCAAGCAGAAGAAGGGCATACAGTTCAAAAGTCTGGGGCATCTCATTCCAGAAGAGCTTGATCTGCCAAGCAGCAGCCCTATGATTGAGAGTTTCTTAAGCTGCTGATATTGGATGTGTTTTCCATGGATCTTTAGTTTTATTCAGGACAGTCAATCTTGCACAGTTAAACTTTGGTGAAGTGAAAAAAATGTCTTGGTGACTTCTTAGTTTGTGGGTGTTATTTTGGACGTTCAGTCTGTCGTTCTGGGTAACAGTTCATCCTTCTCTCTCACCAGACAATGCAAATTTAAAGATAAAATACATCTTTGCATTGAACACACAGTGTAGTGACACACTTCTAGCTCCATTTCCTAAGGGATAGTTTGGCACAGTTAATGCAGAAGGCAACCAAAATTCCTGAAGGGTAAGAGTGATTTTTAGCTAAACTTGCTGAAATTTGGAAAGCCAAAACCAGAGGTAATATTAATAAGGAAGTTATGGCATTGTGTAGCTTTAATTTCATGTTTGCACTAAAGGGCACCGAATTTGCCATTACTGCATCTTTTCCTGGAATACAGAGAGCTTTGCCCTATATTAAATGAATTATTTTTAATTTTGATAGGATAAGTAAGCATCAATACAGAAAAACACCATGTAAACATGCATTGTCTCGTTGTGAAAAACTGCTGCTAACCACATAATAAGGAACTTTCTGGAATGTTACCTGCATTGTAGAAAGTCTGCCCTTTGTCAGCTGCTCAGCTTGCACTGAACAAACCCATATCTGTCCAATTTAGTGAGAAGAATGTTGTGGGGGACAGTGTCAAAGGCCTTGCAGAAGTCCAGATAGATGACACACTGCTTTTCCCTGGTCAACTGATGTAGTCACTTTGTTGAAGAAAGCCACTAGACTGGTAAGGCAGGATTTTCTCCTGGTAAAACCATACTGGCTGTCCTGAATCACCTTCCTGTCCTCCATGTGCCTTAACATGTCTCCTAGGAGGATCTGTTCCATGATCTTCACAGGCACAGAGGTGAGGTTGATTGGTCAGTAATTCCCATGGTCCTCCTTTCTACCCTTTTTCAATATGGATGTAGCATTTCCTTTCTTCCAGTCACCAGGGACTTACCTGACTGCCATGACTTTTGAAATATCATGGACGGTGGTTTGGCAACTACATCAGCCAATTCCTTTAGAACTCTGGGACGTATCTCATCAGGTCCCGTGGACTTGTGTATCTTCAGTTTCCTCAGATAGTCATGAACCTTATCTTCACTTACAGTGGGGGGGACTTTGTCTCTCTGGTCTGCATCTTGTGAGCCATCAACATGAGAGTTGTGAGGAGAGGGATTGCCAGTGAAGACTTTGGCAAAAAAGTTGTTGAGAACCTCAGTCTTCTCCTCATCTGCTGTTACCATTTCACCACTGTGGCTCATCAGGGGGGTAAGCTTTCTTTAACCTTCCTTTTCTGGTTTATGTATGTGTAGAAGCCCAACTCTGTTCCTGCAGAGATATTCAGTATTTGTGAGAGCTTCAGCATCAGTAGATGCCTAAGTACTGGAGGCAGAAATGGAAAAAAAGAAAAAAGGGTGAGAAAAAGGTGGGTGACCCTGGCTTCTTGGGAGCTGTGCTGAAAGGCATGCTTAGGAGTATGTAGACTTCAGTAATGGCCAGTGCAGCTGAAGCGTCTGCTGACTAGAAAGTTTTAGGTTCCCAAGTTCCAGCTTAAGGTTGAGACAAGATCAATAGCAGACTGGGCAATGTTAAATTGGTCATGAAGAATATTCTGGAAAACAATGGAAAGCAGTTACCCTCACTGAACATTTACTGAAATCCTGGTACCAGAGACTTCCATGAAATAAAGCTGTCAGCCTGTGTGACTCACAGTTCTCTGAGGAAAAGGCAGACTCCAGGCAGTCTAGGCTGGAGCTTTCAGAGTAATGTTAAGGGTCCTGGACAGAAGGATCTAACACTAGCCAGCCTGAGATTTTTTATTTTTATTTGATTGTTTGAGTTGTTTATATTCTGCTAGAGATGATACTAGGATTTCTACAGCTAACCAAGTGTTATTGCTTTCTAAAGGATACGTGAAACTTAAACACAAGCAAATCCAATTATTTTTATGGTGTCACAGAGCTTTCTTGGCAGGGACTGGTAAGATCAGTGCTTATTACTGTCAGCAGTTTCCTGTAGAATTGTGTAGGGGTTGTTGTCATTGTCTCTTCACCTCCATGTATGTATGAAGAGGAGACTGTACACAGGCAGAAGAGCTTACACTGGTTCAAATAAGCAGTATATATGCCCTGAGCAGCTTTTTTTCAGGTTAATAATAGTTTACATTAGTTTATTTAGAATCTGACACTAATTGACTTGCAGAAGTAGGAAGCAGGAAAGTAAAATAATCTGTACTGTGACTGGCAATAATTTAACAAATGCCACAAATCCATGATCGACGTAAGCAGGATAAATGGCTTCTACTGCTAAAAGGATGAATTCCCCTCTGTCTTACACTGTGGGATATGTGTTTGTACTGCCTCCCTTACACTCACATTACTGCTTGTGCAGCCATGAGTGAGCTGGAAAAGGGACTTCATCTGAATAAATAACTCAGCTGGCAACAAATAAATAAACAAACAAACAAACAAATAAATAAATAAAAGTTGCTAGTTTTCAGCTGGATCAGTTCCCTGATGTGTTTTGCCACATAAGCACTAGCGCTGGCAGAAGCAGGAGACATGGATAAGCAACCATGTCTCTGTGACAGGCAGCCCCTCTCTGTAGCAAAGGGGATTTATATCAGATTAAATTGACTGTGGAATTCGTAAATATATTAAATTCATAAATTTTAACTGGTGTTCCCTTCCCTAGGAAGGAAATGACAGCCTACATATTCACGTCATAATGACACCACTGTCTGTACTTTCATTCCATTAGGATTGCAGAAGAGTAGAGCAGCCATCCCTTGCTCTCTGACAGAACATGGATGGAGGTTAGTACAAACAAGATGGGAGTGATACTACCAAATGAAAGGGAACAGCTACCGCAGTCCCCTGGAGAGGCAACCTTGCACAGATGTTGTACAAAGATGTAATGCTCTGTCTCAGATTGGTGTAAATTTATGGAATAAAAGCAGCTTTATAACAGAGCATCTTAGATTTTGCTTTTATTGTGAGTCCGTTAGTCATTAAACATTATGTGAAAATCAATATGATAATCAAAGGGTTTTGTAATGAAAATAAATGTACTTTATGCCCTTTGTATACAGAAAAAACCCCAATAATCTGCCATTACATGGGAGAAGTGACAAGACAATCCCGATTATCTTCCTCTGAGGGAAAGGTTCTTTGGCAAATTAACCAACATGAACACCAAGTGACTACAAGACCATGACATTTTTTCTTCAAATAAAATAGAGTTCCGTATTTTATTAAAGAAAGTACTGAGGAAAACAAAGTTTTGCACAACTATTTATTTTGAAGTTTGAAAACATGATGTTTATAGCGACCTCAGGCTCCGCAGAGCCAGAAAACATTTTTGTAGATCTGGCAAAGCTGAGCTCTACCACATTTTTAGCTACGCACTTCTCCAAGTGCTATGAGGTGCGTGTCTCTGTCTTGTCCACCATTCAGGACGCTGTGTGAACATTTTAGGTTTAAGAATGGGCTCATTTGGCTGCATAAAGCTTACCAAGTCTTGTGCTGCCTTACTCAAGGGCCATTTAGGGACACTATTAGTGCAGTCATGCACTCAGGCTATATCTCTTTTGCGAAATTACCATAGCCAACTATTTGAAAATCCACTTTTTCATATACAAAGCACAATTGCTTGAGTTTAATTGCATATTTTGACTTGGCTCAGCAGTCCTTTTTAGTGCTGTTAGCTGAAACCAGCGTGAAATTTTCACTCAGCCAGTTGATCCACCCTACCATTAAAGACAGAAACAAAAGTTTGAAAGGTTCCCAGGTGTTTCTCCCATTGTTTTCATCCCAAAGTATTACAGTGTGACTTAGCTTACTGTTAACAGTAGTGTAGTAGGGTATGATCCCAGAAAGCCTCCTGGGTTTATGTGGCATGATATTAACTTGGAATTTCATACCATCCTTGAAGGGGTACCAGAGGAAATAGTGATTCCACAGCCAAATTCAGGAATGGGGATGCATACCCTAAGTGGCTGTGAATGGAAAGCTCTGCATAGATCTTGCCTTTGACATTGAAGCTAGCTGAGAACGCTGGCATTTCTTTAATACAAAACTATACTTAAAGCTGAGCTAAATGTCAGAAGGCTAATTTTCAAGTCAAGCATATGCTGAGGTTTGCACTGGCTCTAGCGGCATTGGATTTCTTGTGCAGCTGAATTAGTTGAATTAATTTTTTAACTGGAAATAAACCCATTTACCTTTTTTTCTGGGCTAGTTTTTGCTTATGAATGGAAGAACCTCAGCAACAGGTCCAATGAGACCTGTGGTGTTTTTTTTTTTGTTTGGTTTGGGTTTGGTTTTTTTTATTTTGTTTTGTGTTTTTTTTTGTATTTTTTTGTTCCCCTCATTGAATTCACTGTTTCAAATACAAAGTAGAAAGCAGTTTGCGTGTGTATAGACATAGACGTAGATGTAGACGTAGACATAGACATAGACATAGACACAGACACAGACACAGACATAGACATAGACATAGACATAGACATAGACATAGACATAGACATAGACATAGACATAGACATAGACATATATATATATATATGTGAAGTCACTGCAAAACTGGGTAATGGTACTGGTGTTGAGATATGTGTAAGGAACACTTCCTTGAGTGTTATCCTTATAGACACTAGGGATAGAAGGCAAAAATGAAAGATCCAGTGGCTGTTTTAATTTGTAATTAATATATATAATTGTAATAATAGCAGTTTAATGTTAGTATCAATTAAAATAAAAACAAAACACTATATCCTATTTATACTGCTGCCAGCAGTCCAGGCCTTCATTTTATCTCCAGTTTATTGCTTCCCTTGAGGGATCCTATCCTCTTGCCAGCCCTAGGTTCCAAATTGGACTTGGCCTGACAATCCAAGATGTGCCACTGTTTGCAGGTGACTTGAGCTCCAGATTGCTTTTCTGTGAGCAGTGTGTTAAAGTTGAACTTCCATTACAATGACTAAATTTCTGCTCCTCACCAAGTAGGGAGCTGCATGAATTGAACCAGAGCTGCATAGAGTGGTGTCTTTAAAACACATCTCTATACCAGAGCCAGCACATACATAATGATGCTTGGGAAAGCTGAACTTGTCAATATAGGCCAAACTTTAATATCTTCACCCAGGCACTGACAATGGATTGTCATATCAAGAAGGAGTTTTGAAAGTTTCTAGCCTGTGGGTATTAGGGACAGTCTGTGAATCACTGCTGAGAATACAAAAATCCCAGGATAAAGAATAAACTAGAAGTCTTATGACTGAAGCCAGGAATATCAGGGTTATTTTAAGCAGCTAGATTGCACATGGGTCTACAGAAGGGAAGGAGCTACCTCTCTTTCAGCAATGGTTGATTCCAGTGTGATAGAGGGCTCTGTGCTGACAGTGGGATTAACATGGGCGAAAGCAAAAGCAACAGTGGCATCTGTATGGATAGAGTCATGTTCTTAGGGCCAGGGCAAGTCTCAACATATGCTTGACTTGGGGATTAGCTTTCTGATGTCGTCTTTTTTTCATTTGGAAATAGTGATTACAGATTTAAGGAAAAGTGACTGGTGTTAAGTCCACAGTCTGTTACTATTCTGTGCAGTAGTAAAACATGCTTTTTTTAAGCATGGCTGTACTTCGAGGAGAAGAAACAGTAATGACGTATTTAATTTTGACAAATTGTGCTTGATGGCATTTGTTTGTTAAGACTGGAGAGATGCATTGTGAAAATGCAATTTTCTGGTTACTCTGCAGGTTAGAAATGATGTAACACTGGCATGGTAGTACAGTCAGTCACCAAAAAGAGTGGTTAGGGGTATGAATGATGTTTGTGTAATTCCTCAAAGACAAGAGGGTAGAAATAGTCTGAGTAACATAACATGGACATATTGTGAGCAGTTATAACAATAATATTACTGCTACGACAATGTTGTGACACCAAAAGTTCTGAGATTCCTCCTCAGGTAAATTGATAGAAGATTTTTGTGGTACACAATATTTCACTTGAGAATAAGGATGATGTGGGCCACAAGACAGGATGCCAGCTGCAGTTTCAAATTATGATATACATATGTATATTTGTGCAAATGCTTTTTTTTTGTGTGTGTGTGTGGTTCTTTTTTGTTTGTCTGTTTGGTTTTTTTTAATTTATTTTTGGTTTTTTTTGTTTTCCTCAGGGAAGTTGATTTTATGAGCTTCTTGCCTTAGTTCTCCTCCCACAGACTTCTGTCTCCTCAGTTGTCC